CAAACCTCCCTCCCCACCCCTTCACTCCACATTGGGCTGACCTGGATGGCGTTGACTTTCATCAAGAATTCCACTGCCTTCATGAAAATTGTGCAGGGAGGTTGGCTACGTCCTGAAACAGGGGATGGTGCTGCAAGAAAACGTGTCTCCATCAGACCCAACCTGGGCTTTGTGTTTCTGAAGCAAGAACAGGGGCTGAGAACCTGGTGGGGACAGGGGAATCCCAGCCACACGGTGTGAAACACGGGAGGCGGCAGTGGAGGCTGAAGCAGAGATGAACTCAGCATTTCTTTCTGAAGGGCTTAAGTTTTTGTAAAAGATGTGAAAAGAAACAAAGCTCCTGACCCACTAATTTTCCAGTCCAAACTCAGAGGAAGAAAAGGTAGGAATTTATGATTGAAGTTTGTCAGAGTTAACTACAGGGAGGCCCCTGCCTCCCCAAACCAACCCAGCAGGGCCTGAAGCAGCCAATGCTGCCACCTCTTTCCCACCCACTGGAGAGTGCAGCTGTAGAGGAGCCAGCTCTACAACACACGACCAGAGGAGATCCACAGGGACAGTCTAAGAGCTGGCATCTCAGGAGGGAGATGTTCGAGCCTCCACTGAAGGCAGCTGGGTGCAGTGACATGCAGGCAGAGGGCTGCGTTCACCCACTGGCCATCCATCCTTAGGTGCCCTCCTCCAAAAATTGGGATGAACCTACTTTGCCTGGAGATTCCCCGCCTAGGGAGAGAGAACAAGCCTTGATGCCTTGCCTTGGCACGAGGATGGCCACAGCTCAGTGCTGCCAAGTTACTCCCCTCCCGACTGACCACATGAGGCCACCTCCCAGCACTGGGCTGTCCCTTACACGCCAGGCCCCCGTCCCCTAACCTTTCGGGGCTGCCTCCGGTGCAGTAGCCTCTTCCTCAGGTGCTGTGCAGGCCAGGGCAGGCTCCACCGCCTCTGGCGCTTCGTCAGCTGAGCCATCTGGAATCCTCTCTGGAACGAACCCCCCCCCAACCATTAGGTGGAAACAAAGAGTTTGCCATAAACTGCCCGGTTTGGAGCACAATTCCGCAGAAATGGGGAAGAGAGAAAATATGAAAGAGCCATCAGATTTTCAGAACAGGGAAGGAATTTCTTTGCAAGACGCAATACCTGGGTCCGGGGTTTTGAGCACACGATTACTGTGTGAAGCTAGAAATGGGTATAAATGGGGCAATATCCCTTCCCTCATCATTGGAAGGGGCAAAAAGAGGCACATGACGCGAGGCTGGCCTGCCTGAGGCACCTTGTGGGAAGTGGTGATAACGTTAAAAATAAAGCCAGCCAACATTTCCCACAGCCTGGCCAAATATCTGGGACTCAGGACAGGGAGTCTCAGCTCATGGTGAGGCTGACACAGTGAGGCTCCAGAGGAGCCTTTGGTTCAGGGTCAGCACCGAGCAACCGGTTTGCTCCTTGAGCTGGCAAGGCAGCACTTTCCAAGCTGGGCGGGGAAGTCTCAGCCACAGCTTTCATGAAAGCTAAACCTGGATGCCCCCAACGTACGAGTGCCACAGGGGCAGCGCTGCCCTCCCAAAGCCTGCAGAAGGACTTGCCTCCTCCAGCCGCCCTGGCCACTGCCCGCACATGGCTGTGTTGGTCACACCAGGCCGGGGCAGAACAATAAATGCAAAGATCGGTCCCTCTGCAGGCAAGACAAGGCATCAGCCGTGCTGCTTTCAGAAAGCTTCATCATTGAAAGCAGCACACTTGTCGCTGTTGCCTCTGGCTGGCGTAGTTAGTGCTCAGCCTATTCCAGCTCACGGGCCACATCTTCTTCCTTTACACTTTGGATTTCTCCCCCTTGAAATTTCTCCTCTCTTTCAGCACCATCTCCCACACTGCTCCGAGCTCCCTTGCCGATTTTGCCCGGCGTTACCTGGCAAGCCGTCTTCTGGGCCTGGGCTGGGAGACCTCACATGCTCAGCTGAAATGTGCTTTGTCCCTCCTTCGCCCTCAGCAGCCTCAGGGATGCTCCTCTCCTTGGCGAGCTGTGCTTGCAGCAGCTTCTTAGCCTCGCGGAAAGCCATTTCCGCCTGAATATTATTATTCTGCAGCTCATAAAACAAACCTATGGGAGATAGCAAGAGCAGGGTAAGCAGTCATCCCACCCTCAGCAAAATCCTTCCCTTGGCCCTCAGATCAGAGCAGGGAGAAGAGGAGCAGGGGCAGAAGCCACGCTTGGCTCTGCGGGAGTGCCCTGAGCACATAGGCTGGTTTGCTTTTCTACCTGAAAGCGTCCAGGCTACGATGCTGGATGGCTCCAAGCAGCAGGCATCCTCAAAGAAAATCTCTGCCTCTTCGTAGCGCTGCAGCACGGCAGCCACAACCCCACAGAGCAGCAAGCTGGGGACAGGTTCGGACGGATGAGCCTTGCGGGCCCCAGACAGCGGTGGGGGGGACACCCCCCAGCCTCCCACCCACCGGGAGCGCGCAGCACCTTTGGATGTGATGGGGGTCCAGAGAAAGGGCCCTCTGGAAGCACTCCTGGGCTTTGGTGGTTTCCTGAAGGAGGAGGCAGAACGCCCCGTAGTCCAGCCAGCACTGGATGTTGCTCTGGTCCTGAGCTACCCTCTAGACACAAGAGATCATTGCTGGAGTGAGGACTGCTGCAGTCCCACTCAGCACACACAGCGGACTGGGGAGGCGAGTCTGGAACAACCCCGGTTTTCCTCTGGCCACCCCAGCCCAGTTTAGCAACAACCAAACCCTTGTCTATCATGTGCTAGGGTTTCCCTTAACTGGGATACGCTGGGCTTCCTCGAAGCCTCCTTCATCTAACCCATGGCCTCCAGCCTCAGCTGACCTCCTCCTAGCCTGCTGTCAGATGGCCCAGTGTCCCCAGTGCTGCCCCAGTAGACCTTTTGGACCGGCTCATCCCACTTCCCCTGGCCTTGAGGCTGAAGTCCTCAGTGGCCTGGCCAGCCTCTGCCTCACATCCTCCAGAGAGCAGCATCTCCCTAGAAAATCCCTCACGCATTTCAGCCTAAGCATCCCGGTCACGTTTGCCTCCTTCCTCCCTACACAAGAGTCAGGGCTGGCTGAGCTGTCGCCAACGCGGGCCCCTCGCCGCCGCGATGGCGTGCTGGCTGCCAGCCCAGACACACGGGAGATGGGCAGGAAAGAACAGGGGCTCCTTTACCTGCTGGTGGTAGAGAGCTGCCAGCTTGTAGTCCTTGTTGACTTCAGCTTCGTGAGCAAAGAGCCAGAGCTGCTCCTTGGTCGTGAGGGGCGGAGGGGCAGGGGAAGCAGCTTCCTCAGACAGTAGCTGGTAAGGAGCGAGACGGAGCGTTAGTCCCAGGAGGGTAAGGACAGTTCATGTGATCCCAGTCTAGCAGCAGTTCCCAGTCCGGCACGGCGCCGAGTACAGCCTGGGGCTGGGCGGGTTGGAAAGACAAGCTGTCCCGGCTCCTGTCTGCGGTGGGACTTGCTCCTCTCACTCACAGGTACCTCTGCCACACAGGGACGGGGCAATATCCATTATTTGCAGTTGCAACAAGTAAAAGCATCCACTAGATCAAGATAATTTCAAATTTCCTCTGTGGTGTCACTTACTGGTGACCCCAGCTCATGCCGGGACATCTGTGCTCTGCCCGGGTGAGTCGGTGGCCGGTGCCACCATTAGTGGGACACGGATGCACCAGATCTTGCCTCTGAGTGTGGCTCAGGGCCACACGTAATAACTGCAGCAAAGGAAAGCACAGGCCTGCTTCCATCTCAAAAAGTCCCCCCGCCTTCACTAGATGCAGTGTCAAGCCCTGGATCCCCAGTGAACCCGTGTCCCAGGTCACCCATCCCAGCTGACCAGACACACGTCAGGGTTTCTCCCTACCTGGTTCAGGGCAACGTGCATCTGGTCCACAAGGTACACGTAGAGCTCACTGAGAAATGCCTGGAGCTCCTCCTGGGTCTCAAATGCCGTGGTCTTCAGGTACTTCTCCCTCACAATCTTCACAACAGCGTACTGTGGAGGCACACAGCTGGGGGACAAGGCAGGCCCCCCCCGCACCCCCCACCAGCCCCATATCTGTAATAGTACAGCGCCAGAACACACTGATTTTGCCTGAAGCTCCAACTTAGTTCCCAGGAAGACATCCAGCCCAGCACCAATAAAAGGAAGAAAAGCAAGCAGGGGTGAATTCCTTTCCCACCTCCCAGCCCTGGCTCTCCCTGACACCTTGGTACCCCTTTAGGGACAACACGTGGGAAGGGTGGTCCCCTCGGCACAGAGAGGGGGTCTCTGGGCAGAGCATGGCCAAGGCCGACCAGCAGAGAGAGAGGAACCCCTCCTTCTGCCAGCGCTGACTGCGAGTGTGCAAGAGCAGTCAGCTTGGCCTTCCTCGGGCTACAAGCATGGGGCAAGTGGATGTGATCAGCTGTGGAGCTTCCCCTCTTGAGCAGG